GGTGAAGCACAGCTGGCGTGGATCAGGGCAGTGAAGACAAGGGACACTCATAGACCAGACTGCCTCTTGGACCCTCGAATGGAGGCGTCAGGCCCATGGGCTGGCTTTGGCCTTCTCCCCCGTCAGCCAATTGCCCACTGGTTTTCTGGTGCGCTTTCCCATTCTGAAAGGTGGGAATGCTCCTTCTGAGGCTTAGTAATATACCTTACGAACTTTAACACAGACTCGGCTGCTATTTGGCCTGGCCCCCTCACGTGTGGCCCCTCCCATCCCCAGCACACAGCCACAAAAGCTTCCCAAAATGGAATCATCTAACTGCAGGATTGCATGCAGGGAAAGGACCTTCCTATCTCTGATCCCTTTTAACTGGAGACTGGCCAGGGATTTGAACCCAGGACTCGCTCCAGGCAAACCCAGAATGTGACCACCAAGCTACAGTCCTCTCCCAGAAGCAAAAAATCGACTGTATCTTGGTTTAATGACATTCCCAAATCACTGGCAATGAATAAGCTTCTAAGTGATATGTAGAAGGCAAGATTGCCTTCCCTGCTGGAAAAGGGATGGAAAGGAAGCATCAGGCGCCCCACAGGGTCGGTACCTGCCTCACCGCGAGTGGGTGTGCTCTGGCACTGCAGCCCCTATTCCAGTCCTCAATGGGCTGAACATCCAAAAACCTGGGTACCACTGGAAGAGCATCTCGTGATGAATGCCAGAATCCGGCAGCAGGGATCGGAGGCGGGGTGATCTCGAGTATCCTGGTCCAAAGTTGCTTCGGGCTTTATAAGCAAGTAGCCAATCCTCAAACCTGACCCAGCCATTCCAAGACAGGTAATTCAGCTCCATCTTGATAGCTGTAAAGATGCTGGTGAGAAGCCTCTGCTCTTACCAAATTGGCCGCAGTATTTTGTCTCAACTGCAGCTTCTGGACCAGCCTTTAAGGTATGCCTACCTAGAAGCGCATTGCAGTAGTCCACATGTGAAGTTACCTGTGCACAAGCCATGTCAGTCAAACCATCCCTGCCGAGGGATGGCTGTGAAGTGTCTCACCTGCAGGAGCTGGTAAAATAAGTCCAGCAAGAGTTCTCTAAAAATGGGCAGAATGAGGGTCCTTGAAAGTTAGCATCTGATCATGCCAGCGGAGAGGGGAGGGGAGGGGAGGGGAGGGGAGGAAAAAAAGAAAGAGCGTGTTGTTTTATTTTACACCTCAGACTTTTCAGGCTTTTAAATCCCCAGATCCTTTGCAACCACCTTTAATTTTCAGCCGTCTTTTATTGTCTTGCATACTTTGTTGGGGTCTGCCATCAGAACAGCCTCATGGGGCAGCCCATTAGGAAGGGAAAGGCCAAAACTGGTACCACATCTCCTGCTGTGTCCCTACATTTGCCCTCTTTTTGGTCACCTGGGGAAATGGCCAGCATAGCTCTCCCAGCATTCGGGGAACAGGATCCAAGGGGAAAGAATGAGCCTTGTGTTGCCAGGAAAATAGTTTATTCCTTTCCATCCCACTCTTGTTTGGTCCCTTCTTCAGGGGAATTCATAAAAAGCCTTCAGTGACTTTTGTCAGGACTGGCTCATGCTTTGAAGATAGGCACTTCTCAGAAGTCTTTTTAAGAATGCCTTTGGGAAAGGCTCCAAAAAATACTGGGTGGAAACATGGATGGGGTTCTTAAAGAATAAACTCTTTTTTTCCAGACTCTGGAGACTGGTTCTCACTTTTTGGATGTTTTCCAGTTTTCTCTCTCTTGACAAGGCTGGATTTGGGGCTAGAGTTAAGGGCCTCCACCTCCCAGGAAACCCCTAAATGAGCACCCAAACACCAATCAGGAAGTGAGGGTTATCATGACAAACAGAAGCAAAATCCATTTTATTCCTGGTGATATAAAGACGCAAATGGGTTTAAAATTCAGAGCTGCACCCACTTGAGAGGTACAGTGTATGTTTTCAGTCAGGTTTGGCAAACTGGTTTTCTTGTTCCAATGTATCAAGAATGTAGAAGCGGTTGTAAAGCTTGGAACAGTCACTACAAAGGGTGGTTGTGTGCATCTGAACTGCAATAATGCACTTCACCATCTAAAGGAGAGGCCTGCAGGGACATTAAGTCCAGAGTCTGAAATTATTTCGCTGTGCCTGATAGCGGCAAGGAAATAACCCCAGGCATTGTTGAAATGAAGAAAACCTGGAGTAACTTGGAGCACATCTCTTTGAAGGAGGATGGTGAGCTCCATTCAGTTCTGATGCTCAGAATGGATTTCCTGGCTCAGGGCTCTTTCATTCTAAAAGTGTGCATTTTGCACCAGACTCCAGTTAAGGTCAGTGGCTGAGATCCTCGCCAGGAAAGACTGGCAGTAGAGAGGTACAAAAATGCCATTTCTGCCTGCAAAAGATTCAAACCTGCCTTGTTTGCTGGCTCAGATGCCCATTCCAGAAAGCATCTCCCAAAATATCCACAGATGACTAGAACTGTGTTTCTGTTCACTGTGGGGGGAAAGTGCTCAGATTCAGGAATTTTTCCTGTTCAAACATGATGTGTAACAATTGCAAAAACACACATAAATTGGGAGCAAGACAAAGGGCAAGATGATGATGGGAGAAACTTGGCAAGCTTGAACATTGCTCGTTCATTCATCCCTACCTGGCATGTACCAAGGACAGGGCCTACTCGGTGGTGAGCCCCCACCTTTGGAACTCCCCCCCAAGGGAACGGCAGCTGGCTTTGACACAGCTCGCTTTTCAGAAAACTCTGAAGACGTCCTTTTTCCAGCCTGCATTTGACTGATCAGAGAAGCTGAGCTTAAAGAATTTTGCATTCCTGCTTTAAAATTTCTGATTAACCATTTCTGCATAGTTGAAGCAGTGTGTAGGCACCATCAGTACAACACTGTGCCCTGAAAGTCAGGTTATAAATCTTTGACTAAATGACTGGGTGAATTAATCGATGATGCTTTCCTCAGAGCATCCCAACGAGGAACCAATCACCTGTGCAGCTCGTGTGTAGAACTTCACCTGTGTTATGTGAAGAACCGCTTTTGTCTCTGCTAAGTCGTTTCCCACTGGATAACAATGCGCCATCCACGCTCTTGCCATCCATACTCTTTTGAGTATAACTGCTGCTTTGCACCCTCCATGAGGCTGCCTTCAAAGACAGTCCAGAAGATGCAGCTTCTGCAAATGTGGCAACTAGATTAATAACGGAGACAAGAAAGCCCAAGCAAACGCCACCAGCTCTGGCCTCTCGCACCGGCCGCCTGTCTGCTTCCAAGTCCAATTGACCTATTGGACTGGCTTTGGCCTGTAAAGATTTCCATGGGTTGGGATCACAGTGCCTTGGGGCATGAACTTACCTGCGCTGTGTTTCGCATAGAAGGCCTGAGGGTGACAACAGAGGAGAGGACTTTCTCAGAAATCAGTTTCTTCCTGGATGTTCCAGAACCGAATTCTGGAATGAATTCCCTAGCAAGGCCCACCAGGCACCAACCGACACATCTTCATTTTTGTTTCAGGTTAAAAGCACCTGTACGCTCAGGTATTTGGCCTAATATGATAGGCTTTTGAATGTGGGGCTTGGATTTAGTGCTGCTGTCGGCTGAATGTGTCAGGCCTGTGTGTCCATGGGTGGTCTGCTCGTACATTTATATGTAAACCTTTCTATATTACGCGTGTTCTTGTTTTCAAGGGTTTTAATCTTGGCAAACTGCCTGGAGCACTTTGGCTATCAGGCAGTAGAGCAATATAGGGAACAAAAGCATTTCAGAAAGTACCTAACAGCGTGGGAACCTCTGTCAATCTGAGAACCAAATTCCATTTTGGAGAAACTCCTGGGAGAGGGGGGAAGCATTGCCGTGGTGGTCAGGGCTGAAGGTAAAAGGAATGATGCCAGAAACATTAGTATAATGTAGCTTCGAGCTCCAGGAGGCATTCCAACCTTCTAAAATGGAGAAAAATGCCCAGAAGCTGAGAAACTGTGCCACAATCCAGAGCAAGGGTCAGGGGAAGGACCGTTGCCACGTGCAAATCCTCGGGGGGGGGGGCTGGATCAAGACCCCAGGAGGGGCTGCAGATTTGCTCCCAAGGCTACAAATCTCAGGCCTTTGTCCACTGGCATTCTAAATTTGAAAAGCATTTTGCTTTTCCCTCCCCGAGGAAGGTTCTCCCACCTCTGAGTTTGCCTTTTTCTGCAGCATTTCCATGGTCCTCTAAGAGTCTGACCCCACCTTGACTTTCCGATGTGCATACATGCATTCCGCGGGGAGGGAGGGAGGGAGGGAGCGGGAGAGGCAGATGCATACCTGTGCTGGCACTCACCCTGGGCTTCCAGGATCTGGCTGGATATAGATAAGTCTGAGCGAAGAAGCAGCAGCGGCAGCTGCATTTGCATGCAGGCACGGGAGGCTACTTGGAGTGGGTAGCGGGAGAGGAAGGGTGGCAAAGAGCTGGAAGCACTGGGCTTAGTTAGAATGCAGCGGCTGGAGCGTTGCCTTCTCTCTGATGGCTGAGCATGATTGACACTTACAAATTACCCAGCCCAAAGTGTCGAGTCTTTGACCCCTGAGTAACATCTTCGGCAAGCTTGAGATTTGCCAGCATTTTGTCATCTAATTACTACAAATCCCTTGGAAATTCACTGGCTGGCGAATTTTTAATGCGGGGCGCAGTTTTCAGCATGAGGCGTCGCCCAGATGCGCTTGTGAGCCCTACCTGGTTTCTTCCCCAGCCGTCCCACATCTTCAGTCCTCGCTGGGGCGAACTGGTCTCTGCAGGACTCGCTCTGAGCCTGGCCTCAGCACCGTCCCAGGCAGAGAGAGCCTTGTCTCCCATCCTTTTCCGTTGGTTTTCCTTGTGTGGGCAACCTTTGCAGGAAAACCAGTCGGTCTCTCCTTCTTTCAACTTTCTCCCTGGTAAAATTTGGTTGCTTATTTGCCTGCAGATCATACCATGAAGCAAGTTGCCTCTGAAAGGATTACACTTCTAATGCCGTATCTTTTTCTCCCCCATCTCGCCAGTTTTGAATCAAGCCGCTGCAGAGACATCCGGCCCTTGGATCGCTCCTTCGAAGCCCCCAAAGAAGAGTCAGAAGTCTGAGCAAAGAGCCAGAAGTCTTACCATTCGCTGGGATCTTTCCTGCATCCTGACTAGGATCCAACAAGGCAACAGTGTCTCCTTTAGCCTGCCAACCAAGAAAACTGCCACACTGGTTTTTAAGCCACCAGATGAAACAAACCTTCCTAGAAAATCACTAGCAGTAGATCGGGGTTTCCCTCTTCCCCACTTCTTGATAACTTGCACAGGTTTCAAAAAGAATGTACATAATGTTTTTAAACATATTGGGATATGAATGTGAAATTACAATCCCTTTGTTCCTGTGCTCTGACTTTTCTGTGCTTTTCTGATTTGGTATTGCCCGGCCCTACAAGTTCTATCCGCCCCCTGCCACCACCTCAGTTTCCCTGTGTTTGCACTGAGCCGGAAGCGATGAGGTATGTGGAAATTCTTTCTGCTGGATCCTCAACTGGTTGGAACAGTGGTGTAGATGTACAGAGGCAGAGCGCCTGGCCCTGGTTTCGCCATTGTGGTGCCTGTGGTTACCAGTTGGATTCCAACACCTCAGCGTCTCTCAGGCTCTCTGCTCCTCTTTTAATTTTATTTCTTACTGATATTAAACAAGCGGGTCACCAGACTACGAAGCAGATTACCATCCTCCAGTGCCATCTTTGTTCAGGCTGGAAACCTTTACCCCTACTTTCTTGCATAAGTTGCTTTTCTGTTTGTCTCACCAGTTTAACTCCTGGAAAGTGAGTGCTTGATAATCAACCATGCATACTGTGGTAGCCATTTTGTGAGAGTGCTCATGACACACTCTCAAACTTCCAACTGTCCGGTGATCCAAAATAATTAGGTCACTGCAGCCTAGCTGGGGAAATCCACCCAGAGGATGACCTGGCCGACAGCAATCCCTGGAGCACATTTGGAAAGCCAGATGACTCCGCTCTTAATCCAGGCAAAAGACTCGGGTCCAACCTGGAAATCTTCCTGACTCAGGAGAAACTGAAGAGCTGCTGGAGGTGGGAGAGGGGTGGAACCATCCAGGCATGACTGTGCCCCAGTCCTCCCCCAGATGTGCGATTCAGACTCTGCAGAGGTTTATGGAAAATGGACTCTCCAGTGGTGTTTCTTGCCTGCCTGCTGAAAAGGTTCTTGCTTTCCTCTCTTGGTAAGTGTGTCCACTGCAAAGCTGGCCAGTTTAGTTCCAGCTGGTGCTACTGGCTGGCTGGGCGTGACTGCCTGCTTGGTAGAAACCGGTGCCTGGGACACAGGATCCAAGCGGGGTGTCCCACTGCTTGCACTGTGTGCAGAGGGCTGGAGGGACAGGCATGCGCTTCCACTTGGCTGTCTTAGAACCCAGTTGCTGTGTCTGGAAGCATGCACTCGGTCGGCTCTGACAGGGCAGCTGCATCTCATTCTCACCTCATCCTTGTGGTGCCAGTGGGGGATTTTCTTCTCTTTATTTTTAATATTATCATTATTAAGAGGCAGCATAGTCATGAAAGCATTCAGACAGGCTTGTCTGGGCAGGATTTTGAGGCCCAAGAATTAACCGTGGGGTAATTTCCTGAAGGAAGGTGTGAATTTTCATTGTCAGTTTCCTGCTGGGAAATAAGGAATTAGACCAGAGAAAGAATCAGAAGAAGACATCTCCCAGGGTGTGAAAATGCCGCCAGGAGAGACCTTGGAAGGTGACCTCTCTTGGAAGGATCAAGTTCAGTGGTGGCTGGAAGTAGCGTGGCTGGGGGCTGTAATCTACTGTGGAGGGCAGGCTGACATTTGGGGGGGGGGGGGCCTGTCCGTGGTTCTGAGACCGCTCAGCACTGTGGTGCATCTAGCCTGCAGGTTGAAGGAGCTGTCCGTGGTGCTGACTACCCCGTGTTGGGGTTCAGCACTATGGCCAGCTCCTTACAGAGGTCCTCCAAAGCCAACTAGTCTGACGCCTGTTAAGTTCAGGAAGTGGCAGAACATCCTCGACGGACTGGTGACTCCCTGCAAGTGAGAGAGCACCGCTGCTCCGGAGCTGGTGGCCTGCTGTTCCTAGCATTGCCCTCCCATTGCTACGCCAGCTAAGCTTGGGGGAATTTTAAAAATTACTTTTGCGTATTCCAATTAAAACCTCCTCCTTTTGTCTTGCAAGGAACCCATTTGTGTGGGTTTTCTCCCCCTCTCCCCACATCAGTCCTGTCAGTTAGACCTGGTGGAGAGTCAGCGAGTGGCCCAGTGTCTGCCAGGGACCTTTCTGGATGAGCGAGGACTAGAAGCTGCATCTCCCAAAGCCCAGTCCAAGACTCCCACCACAGCACCATACTGTCATAGGCCGAAATACTTGGAGGGCCAGCAGTCGTCCATACTGCCTCCCGAGTCTAGACCACTCCCATTGTTAGGTTGCTCTTACCTTGTAAGAAGATTCTCTTAGGAAGCTTCTCCTGTAACTGAAGCCCATTTGGTTCTAGCTCTGCCCCTTTGAGACAAGGCAGTCTTCAGCTTTTTCTGAGGGGCAGCCCTTCAAGAAGGGGAAGAGGCTGCCCTAATCTCCCTCTGGTCTTCTCCTTTCCTCATTGAACGTATCCAGTGCCTTCAACCTTTCTTCATAGGACTTGTTTCCCATTCACTTTCCATCTTGCTTGCCCTTCTCCCAAAGTATTCCAATTCATCTCCATCCTCCTTACATTGCAGCGCCCAAAATGAGACACGGTGCTCAAAGTGGCCTGTCCAGTTACTGCAGAATAATGAGAACTAAGCACCAGTGTGGTGTCACGGTTAAGAGCACAGGACTGGGACTCAGATGATCTGGGTTCTAGTCTCCATTCAGCCATGGAGCCAACAGGGTGACTTTGGGCCAGTCACAGACTCTCAGCCCAACCTACCTCGCAGGGCTGCTGTTGTGAGGATAAGATGAAGAGAGGAGGAGGGGAATGATGTAAGCTGCTCTGAGTTCTTTAAAAAGGAAAAAGGCAGGATAGCAATCAAATAACTGAATGAACTGATGCGTCCTGTCGTGGCAGCCACACTGGTGTAGCGCTGCAATGGAGCCATAGCTAAACTGAGCTATGGTAAAAGAATACTTTGGAACTTGGTAAAAGAAACTGGGATTTGCTTGCATTTCAGCCCGGTAGAGGTTGGCTGAAGGAAGGAACCATGGAGCAGCCTGCTAGCTTTTGCTGAGCTGCTGAAGCTGGACCTGAGCATGTCCTTTTAGACAGCACATGAAGACGCACATGACTTGACGCACCTTTTGACGCAGGGGTAGCCACACATAGAAAAGCAGCCACACAGGGCCCTTCAGAAGTGCTGGGTTAACAGCCGTTCCAGCTAGCGTGGCCAAAGGTCCTAAATTCCGGAGCTGAAGTCCAAAAGATCCGAGTGCGTGAGGCCCAGGAAGGCTGCCCAAAGTTTTTCCTGCTGCGTGTGTGTGTTGTGTGTGTGTGTGTACACACACCCCTTCCGCCATGCCCCCTCCTGAGCAAAGGTGTTAACCGTGACTGTGCTTGTGTCTTTCCTGGCTTGCTGTCTTCACTTGCTGCATCTTCTGAGGAGTGCGTGGTATTTATTCATTGTTTGATTCATTTCCACACCACCCACAAGCTGAAACTTTCTCGGCCGCTCGCAACCAAAACCATACAGTCAGTGCAAGGAAAATATAATCAAGAAGGCCATAAAATACACTACAAAAAAACAAAAGTTTAAAACCACAGTTCAGCAGCAGCAGCAAAGGCCAAAGGAAACGCTTGCAGCAGTACAAAGATTTAAAATACAGTCAAGGATTTAGAGCAACAGTTGCAGAAAGACTAGAATTTCTGGGAAATGAAGATGTCATCTAACACCAGAAAGCATACAGTGTAGGTGGTGGGAGAACTTTTCTTAGTATCCACTCACTTCCTTTGATAGGGATTCCCCTAGAAGGACTGCCGAGGATGATCTTGGAGTCCAGGCAGAAATATATGGGGGGTACGATCCTTCAGGTAGTTTGGCCCCTAATTGGGCTTTCACGGGGCTTTAAATAAGAACACTTTGAACTGGGCCAGGATAGGAACTGGCAGCCAGTGCAGATGATAAAGTCCTGGACTACGATCATCATTTTGGCCCCAAACACTGGGCACACTTCCCAGGAACTCCAGCTCCAGCCTGCTGAGCCCAGGAAATCCGACAGATGCCCAACCCCAGAGCAATTCCATGCACATCCCACGTCTCATGGTAGCATTGCCTGCTTCCGAGCAGAGCAGAAGGAGCAAGCCGAGAGCAGTGACTCATACAGGACAACAACAGACAATCCTGGATGCACGGATACAGATTCAGTGGAACCTTTCATGGCTTTGTTCTCAGAACATCATTTTGGAATTACTGATGTAAATGTTGGCAGCAGGAAACAGGTTGGAGAGGGAAGTGGAATCTCAACAGTTCACCTGTCAACAGCCTTATTGGGAAGGAAGCAAGCCAGCGGGCAGTGACTCATGCAGAGAGACACCAGGCAAAGCATCCTCTAAACATTGCTTCCAGGAGCCTTCAGTGATTTAATGCATGGATTCTTCCCAGGGGACCGTTACTGATCCAAACATCAACAGCAGGATTGGATGAAAAGGTGGTGGATCTCCACAGTCCCACACCAGTCTGCAAAAAAAGGACTTGACCAAGATGTCTTCAGCACTTCATAAAACTATGAGCTTTGCTGCCGCTGCCATGAAACTAAGAACTAATTAGTGCTGCTTTCTGCAGTGAGTAAAACCCAAATGTCAAACAATACCAGAGCTATTAAGTCCATCCTTTTTAAAGAAAAAGAAAAGAAAGCTGCATAATATGAGCTGGAGTAGTTTGTCTGCAACCTTCTTACTGGAGTTCCCTGTGGCAACAGGGTCGATAATTTTGAGTCGGCCGAGCGAGAGAGCAGAGCAACACCGTGGTTCAAGAAGACAGAACTGCTGGGCACGGTGTGCCGCTCCTGTTCGATTCTTTTGCACCACCAGAGGGTGCCATGTCTAGCCAGCTTTCTTTCCTCTGGGGTGGGGATTTTTCCAGCCCCCTTGAGCTAGGTGTTTTGCCAGAAGACCAGAGCTAAATTCATGGTTGAGCAGAAGTGGGGAGCCAGGACACGGGGAGAAGCCAGGAGGCACAATCCCAAAATGCATGGGGTGAATTTCAGTTTCTCCTGCATTTAGAGTTTTGAAATCTCACATTCTTTCTCTCCTGAAGAACTTGGCAGTTTTTGGTAAATGCTGGTCAAAACCCAACTGGATCTCATTTCCCACTGATAGGACTAGCTCAATTCAACAGGTGTAGCTACCCCAAGCATTTAAAAGAATAGGATGTACTACAGAACTGAT